GGCATGTACTGTCTTCGCTCGCTTCGAAACCGGGATCGTGGGTTCGAATCCCACTCAGGGCATGGATGTTTAGTTTGTGTGTGTGCGTTTTTCTGTGTTTGTGTACAGGCAGAGGCCTTGCGACGAGCTGATCACCCGCCCAAGGAGTCCTACCGAATGTGTAAGATCTAGAAAAACCGAAGTGAACGGAGAAGTTCATGGAGATGGGCCTAGGCCTACTGGGGCTGTAGTGCCAAGGAAGAAAGAAAGTGTTGTGTGTGATAACACCTCGCCCCACCCAAGCTGAGGCCCTGCCAAACGCCCTGAAGAAATCTCAGGCCTACCAACAGTCATACCCCTCCTTCCTACCACAAACATTAAATATTGTAAGCAAACCCAATTGGCGTTTATTGGTGCTCAGTCGGAGAAAGAAGGTTATATAAGAGAACAGAACAAGGGCGGTAAGAAAATATTACATTCGTATGTTGGACATCCTGTTATGTGTGTCACTAGTATGTGGTGTACAAGTTTTTTACTTCCAATGTTTGATATTGTCGCGTATCGCGGGGTATATCGCGACAAATAAATTCTCGATGTATTCGATGTAGCGAATTTTATTTCACACTCGCTCTTACAATCACCCAAATTACAGATTTACGATTACTGCTATCTGCAGTATCACAATTAGTACAGTCCAAATGCCACAATACAACTGACTGGCTGACTTTACGTCTTGACTCGGCGACTGTTACAGTACAACTCAGTACAACTCAGTACAACTGACTGTGAATAGCCTTCGCTGCTCCGTATCTAGCCTCGATCGGACAATACGGGAAAACGGCCACGTAATAGGCACCCTTTGCATGGCGCTGTGTTGCTATGTAACGCTAGCGGAGGTAACCGCTGTTACTACTTGGTGACGTCACCGCTGTTGACTTGCGTTGCCTAGCGACCAGGATGCTAGGACTCGGCTAACATCGGCTCGCTTCGGCTTCGCTCGGTGCATCACGGCTGGCGGGGGGGGGGCGTCATCCATAGCTCAGCACGTCACACTATTTATTGAAATGTTACTATGCTCTACGTTTCGGTTGTTTTGACCAATATCAGGCGTTGTTATAAACACACAGAATACATCACTGTTCGTTACCGCGCAGCTGGTCTTAAAATGTAAAATACAAACCCATACATAAATACATGTACATGCGTACGAGCACATATAGGTTAGTGTTTAAGTGTATTATAATATTTATCGATAATTAGTAAAATTTCCTAAAGTAATTGTTGTTTATTAGTGTCTGTTGAAGTTGTTTTCTTTAATGTACATGTGAAGAGTAAATAATTATGGGATATGAAGCCGTTTAGTCTGGAAGAAATTTACCGCCGTTTAGGAGGCCCTTCTTCATGTCAGAAGGACAGGCCATGCGAATAGCACGCGGAGACAGCTGAGCAAGGGGCCCAGAGAGCATCGGTAAGAGCAAGGAGAAGAATAACTAGTGTTGGCCCTGAGAAGTGGGAGAGCATTGGAGAGCATGGGAGAGCATGGGAGAGTGAACAGGAGGAGAAGTGTTTACATAGTTCTGACCGACTTTCTAGTCGTTTGTTTTTGGCTTATTCGTCTACCCTGATGAAGGAGGCAATGTGTTCCTCTGAAACGGTATCTTCTAACAGATTTCACATCGTCATATCTCAGAAGTTAATAATTTCATAATCACAGCCTGGGGAGCCTCAAATCCAAATGGATTCAGCTAACATTATATATATATATATATAGATTATATAAAGTAAGTAAAGCTATCCCTGTAACAGGCCGTGGAGGCCCATAGAGTCGTGAGACGTCGAGGCTCCCACATTATCTAGACAATCGGCTCGTAGATGGAGGCGAGGTTGTCATCCCTACGCGCCGGCCGCGCTTTACTTCCCAGGAAGATTCCTGATACTCATTTCTGTTAGAGGCTGAGTCGACACTAGGGCCATTGTGCGGCTGGAAGGATTAGGTCAATTGAAAAATCCAATGACCTCATACATTTATTTATTTATTTATTATGGTGTATTTAGCGAGGTTGTTTGTAGCTCCGTTTTGCCTACAAAGAATCGACTAAAATAACGCAGGTGTTTCACGTTATACACTATACTGGTCGCCCCGAACATGTTATCCAAAATGCTGTCCGTGAACTACAGCTGGGATGCGCGCGCAACTTGTTTCTTTGAAACTGAGTTTTCGTTTTTGAGTTTCAGGTTTCGAAATACCGCTGTTCTTTTCGGTACATATTGTTAAAACGGTATAAATCGCCAGGTAGTGATCAAATTCTGGAAGAACTTATTCAAGCAGGAGGCAAAATATTACGTTCTAAGATCCACAATCTAATTACTTCTATTTGGCATAAGGAAAAATTGCCTGATCAATGGAATGAGTCTATTATTGTACCAGTTCACAAGAAGGGTGGTAAAACTGACTGTAGTAACTATCGGGGGATATCACTGCTATCAACTTCATATAAAATTTTGTCCAATATTCTTCTTTCAAGGTTAAGTCCATATACAGAATGAAATTATTGGTGATCATCAGTGTGGGTTTCAACGTAACAGATCAACTACAGATCAGATCTTTTGCGTTCGTCAGATATTGGAGAAAAAATGGGAGTACGATGAGGCAGTACATCAGCTATTCATAGACTTCAAGAAAGCCTATGATTCAGTTAAGAGGGAAGAATTGTATAATATTTAGAGTTTGGGATAACCATGAAACCAGTTAGGTTGATTAAAATGTGTTTAAACGAATCGTATAGTAAAGTCCGTGTAGGTAAACATTTGTCTGATAAATTTCCTATTCAGAATGGTCTAAAACAAGGAGATGCTTCAACGCCACTCCTTTAAAACTTCGCTTTAGAATATGCCATTAGGAAGGCCCAGGGAAACCAGGTGGGACTGAAATTAAACGGGACACATAAGCTGTTGCCCTATGCCGATGATGTGAATCTACTGGGTGATAATGTAGATACCATAAAGAAAAACACACAAACTTTAATTGACGCAAGTAAAGAGGTTGGTCTAGAAGTAAACACAGAGTAAACTGAGTATATGTTACTGTCTCGTCACCAAAATTCAGGGCAAAATCAAAGCATAAAGACAGGAAACAGATGTCTTGAAAATGTGGCACAGTTCAGATATTTTGGAACAACGATAACAGATCGTAACCTGATTCAGGAGGAAATTAAGAGGCGATTGAACTCGGGTAATGCTTGCTACCATTCAGTCCAGAACCTTTTGTCTTCTCGTCTATTGTCCAAAAACATAAAAATTAGAATATACAAAACTATAATTTTGTCTGTGGTTCTGTATGGGTGGGAAACTTTGTCTCTGACACTAAGGGAGGAACACAGACTGAGGTGTTTGAGAACGGGGTGTTGAGGAGAATATTTGGACCGAAGAGAGATGAAGTGACAGGAGGTTGGAGAGAACTGCATAATAAGGAGCTTCATAACTTGTACTCTTCTCCAAGTATAATTAGAATGATGAGTCAAGGAGGATGAGGTGGGCAGGTCATGTAGCACAAATGGGGAGACGAGGAATGCGCATACGATATTGGTGGGAAAGCCAGAAGGAAAGAGACCATTAATAAGACCTTGATCTAGGTGGGTGGATAATATTAATATGGATCCTACAGAGATAGGATAGGGTGGTGCTGACTGGATAGATCTGGCTCAAGATAGGGACCAGTGGAGGGCTCTTGTGAACCCGGTAATGAACCTTCGTGTTCCATAAAATGCTGGGAAATTCTTGAGTAGCTGCAGAATTGGCGGCTCCTCCAGAAGAGCTCAGCTCCATGAGTAAGTAAGTGTCGAATGGTAGGGTAATTAGTGAATAATGGATTGTAAGGGAAGTGGAGAGGAGCGGCCGTGGCCTGATTTAAATCACTGCTCCGATATTTACATGGGAAAACAAAGGAAAGCGGAGTCATGCAAATTATTATGACTATATTAAACGGCGCTTTTGTGACTGTAACGTGGACAGTTAAACATTCAATTTTTGTATTATTGATGGTGCGAATTTGGAAAACATAAAGCTTGAGGGACCTTAAGTGGTAGGGCACCCGTGTTAAGTTCCATGAGAATGTATCGAATATTCCGAAATCATTAGGTGATGCAGTCTCACGGATACAATACCGTCCCTCTTTAAACGTAGGGGGTCGAGTGGGTAAAACTCCTACTTCCAATTGTAGTATTAGATCTGCTGATAGGCAACGACCGAGAAATAAGCAGCTATACAACAGCCGTTACTAGGTAATGGCGCTGTAAAGAACGATTGATGCTAGCTAATGGCCGCAACAAATTCGTAATGAGCAACAGTGGAGCAACTGGGAAGCGGTGTCCTCTGCGCTTTCCGTGCCATAGCCACGTGATGAGAAATAGAAAACTGTTAGGAGAGGTGTTTTCTGTGCTATACGTGTGAAGGCTATATAACGAGGAGCTGCTGCGATTACGAGAGTCTAGAGACAGCAGTTAGAAGAGTAGCGGTTAGTTGTGAGACAGTCGCCACCCAATAAGGACGTGAACACAGACGGTGAGGAAGCTACTGCGTTGAAAGCCGTTAACAGGCGACAACCCGTGAACTTACAGCATACTGAAAAGACTTCGTACGTGCTGTAGTGAATTGTAGAGTGTCTGAATTATTCTTAGCGCTATAGTTTGTTGTATCTACGATCTCTAAGAGTACAATAAATCCAGTTACGTATCCAAAAACGTCTGTAATCACTCATACACGTGACAATATTCTGGCGGTCCCTGGTTCAAATCGAAACCCTGAGACTGGCCGGATATTTTAACTGAAATTTTCCGAGGATTTGGCGATTCCCTCAAAGTAAATGCCAAGATATTACCTCAAATCAGGTCACTAATAATCATTCCAAAACACGCTATGCAGTCTTAGTTATCGACAATATTGTTGAATAAACTCAGAAATCAAATATGATCACTTTTTTCCTGATAAAGTAAAGAAATAGGACTAACAGTGCGTACAAAAATTCATATCGCAGCGCCATTTTGACTCACCAACGAAGAATGAAGGTCCAGTTGTATCTCATCATAGTTCGACCTTCATTTGTTGTTCCAGTTGCTCGCGAACGTGGGAAGTGCGAACCTCTGCATTCTGTCAACAAGATAAATGGGCCTTAACACTCGTTTTTATATCTTGAAACCTTGTTTTATTCTGGCTCAATGTGTACATCTCGCTTTTTGCTACACGTCGATATATACTGTACAATCCGTTTTTTTTTTTCTGGGGTTTCTCGTGTAGCTGTCGATGTCTCAGACAAGACAGCGGCTACTGGTAAGATGGTTGCTGGGAAGATTTGCAAGGAAGCGGTATTATCCTGGAGTTTCCACGGAGGGGCTAAGGGAAATTACAAAAATTCTCACTCATGGTGTTCAATGTTTCAGCTGAGAATCGAATTGAGGAATTATCGAATTAAAATATAGACCAGCCTATTCGGTAAACACAACAGATGGGGAAACAGTATGAAGGCAATGGAGAAGGACTAAAAAAGAATATTATATTTCAGCATTCTGATGCACTGATGTACACTCCTTCACTCAGTTCCCTCACTAATGCAACCCAAACCTTTCACAGTCCCTCCTTTATTTTAAAATGCCATTAAAATCACATTTAGTTGACTGAAGATGGCTTTCTAAGGCTGAAATATGTTGCAATTGAATATTATTTGAATGACAGTATAAAATAAAGGAGGGACTGTGAACGGTTTGTGTTGCATTACAAGCGGAAATGAGTGTATGAGTGACTAAAGAAAAAGCAGTAGTGTGAAAGAGTAAGGGCAGACTAACAAAACAACAAAAGTACCTATAGTCTGGACAATAAGGAAGGTGATAACAGATAGACCTAGATATAACTGAAATTAAAATGGCGATAAACATTGCATGGGAAAAATAATTCTGATTTATAAAGAAAAGTAAGAAAATAACAACCAGGGAGTTGTGTCAAGCGGCAGTACTTCTGGAGCTGACCTGTTGGAATCCAAGCATGAACACAGGCCATAGTGTCTGAAGATTTCTGTGGCATTCCTAAGTCACTTTTGGCAAAAGCCGTGTACTATTTCAAACTAGGCCACTGTCAGTTCCTTCCACATCCTATACAATTCATCATTCACTGATCATCCGCCCACTCGACTCTGTGCAGGTTCAGTTAAATCACGAATAATCCATTATATGCTTATATATCACTGAAATGTAACGGCGAGATATACTTGCTTTTAGTTCGCCGTGAAGCCGCGGGGAGCGCCACTTGCCTGCTTTATACGCGTGCGGTAACCGCAGGGAGAGATAACAGATGGCGTTGCTAACATTCATTGTTTGGGATATTAAGAACAGCGTGTTCATACATCATGCATAATATATCCTCATTGTATTTATTGTGATTAAAATGGTATTGCGAACGAATAGCGTGGTTTAGCCGGCTTACATACTGTGGCATATAGCCCTGTGTCTAAGTAATGGCTCTGCAAATAACGGCCGTTGCTAGGTAATGGCTGAGTAACGATCACATGGGAACCCCAACAAACACGAACGCAAGAATAGTACAGCAAAAGAGGAATGCTGATTTTTTTTGTAAGGCCCGTGCCGAAATGTTATAAGCAGGACAAGTTAGAGAGGAGTCAGTTGAGTTAGTGAGTGACTGAGTCAGTTAGTCAGATGACTGTTGCTGTACAGTCATTGTGAGCTGTTGCTGTGAGAAGCTGGTAGCTGAGGCCGGTGATATTTCGAAAAAGCACAGAGGAAGGGAAATATCCACCGTTGGAAGCCCCTGCCAAGCAACGGCTGCTGAAGCGTCACTGTGGACACTAGTATATATAACAGTAAACTGTAAAGTGTGGTCACGCGCTGTATCAAAGCGTACAGTAAGTCCGATAACCACTACAAAAAACCGTCTACAGTCACTCCATCATGTGACAACATTAATTGCAATGGGGTTGGAGGTTGGGCTTGGACACGGTGGTAGAGACAATCTTCGTTCTCAAGTCCGTTCAGGGCTGCAGTTACACGGAGCGTGTCACGTGACGAAACTCCGTCTTTTTGTATTTTTGTCAAGTGAGGTCATTGTCGCACACAGTGACTGCATCTTATGCATGTAATGTATGCTGCTGCTGACATGTGGCAGTTAACAGTTGAATGAAACCCTATCCCAGCAGACGAAGTTACTTAATATGCCTTGATGTACAATACGTGACTGCTCTCAGGCAGTCAGATGCTGGCTCCTCATCGTGGAGGCCCGGGTTCAACCAGGGGTGTCTATGTGAAATTCGTAGTGGAAGAAGTGGCACTGCAGTAGGATTTTTTCTCCGACGGGCCTCTACTTTCCCCTGTTAATTATCATTCTACCATTGCTCTATACACATCTATCATCATTTCTTAAGGTGCGATAAACCAGTGTTTCTAAGATCCGCGCATGCGTGGTCGCGCAGCTGCTGCCAAACTCCCGCGCAATTTTATTGCTGTATTATATATTTAATTTGAATTATTAATAAAATTGAAAAAAAAATTGTTATTTTTTGGCGATTATAAATGAAATATCGAATGGTATGATGATCAGTGAATAATGAAGTGGAAAGTATGTAGAAGGGAGTGGCCGTGGCGAAATTAAATCAACTATCCCGCCATCTTCCTGTTGGGGCTCAAGAAATCCCCAAATTCATTTCAGGACAATCGGTGTCTCAAACCAGGCTTCTCCCAAATTCAAGTTGGAGGCGTTAACGCTTGAATCAACTTCTTCGCTCACATAACCGACTTCATTGAGCTAAGCCATTCATGAGAAGCCGCCATTTCGCAGCTACTCAAGAAGTTCCCAACATTTTATGGAGCCCAAAGGTTCATAAACGTGTTCACACGAAGCTTCCGCTGGTCCCTATCCTGAGCCAGATCAATCCAGTTCGCACCACTCCATCCTATCTCTGTAGGATCCATATTAATATTATCCACCCACCTACATCTAGGTCTTACTAATGGACTATTTCCTTCTGGCTTTCCCACCAATATCCTATACGCATTCCTCGTCTCCCCCATTCGTACTACATGCCCTGCCCATCTCATCCTTCTTGGCTTCATCATTCTAATTATGCTTGGCGAAGAGTACAAGTTATAAAGCTCCCCATTATGCAGTTTTCTCCAACCTCCTGTCACTTCATCTCTCTTCGGTTCAATTATTCTCCTCAACACCCTGTTCTCAAACACCCTCAGTCTGTGTTCCTCCCTTAATGTCAAAGACTAAGTTTCACACCCCTACAGAACCACAGGCAAAATTATAGTTTTGTATATTCTAATTTTTATATTTTTCAACAGCAGACTAGAGGACAAAGTTCCTTGACTGAATGGTAGCAAGAATTTTCTGAAGTCAATCTCCTCTTAATTTCCTCCTGAATCAGGTTTAGATCTGTTATCGTTGTTCCCAAATATCTGAACTGTGCCACGTCTTCAAGGATCTGTTAGCTACCTTTTTGTCACGAGTTTTCCCTGCAATCTAGTGACAAGGCAGCAACATATACTTAGTTTTCTCTGCCTTTACTTCTAGACCGACCTTCTTACTAGCGTCAATTAAGAATTCTTCTGCTACATGGCTGCAGTATTTATCGAGTTTCTTTAGCAATTAGGCCGAAAGTAACCATAACATTCAGAATATTAAATTCCCAGTAATTTATTTCGGTTTCTTTTGTCGATGAATGAATTCGATTATACATCCGCAGTCGTCAGTGTCACCCGTAGACGGTTTGCCCTGGCTGAGGACGCAGACTTATCTCTTCGTGTCCGTTCCCAAGCAGACGCTTAGCGAGTTAGTGTGTATTCCCTCATTCATCATATCAAACAAAGCTGGAGCTACTGTGCTGGAGTGTTTGTCGTGAGTCATTTCGCAAGTTCGATGATCATATTGGGGCCCCAAGCCGTCTAGCACACTTTCCAAAGATATTTCCTTTCATTTTAGCCTGTTAACGTAATTGGAATCCTTTCAATTCGAATTTAAAAATAACTGCAAAACTTCTCACAAATGTGGCTGGATAGGGGAAGGGTATAGAGAACAAATTAGGAAAACAGAGTTCTTAACTAACCAACTATGAGGGACAGTCAGTAAATTGGTCACAGATGGAAGTAAAACAACTGTAATGGGTGTAATATGTTTTCTATGTGTATCACTAGGTAGCAGCACAGTCCAGCTTCATAACAGTCTAGGTAGCAGACGCGCAGGCGCATTTTCGGAGTTTGGTTTTAGTAGTCAAAATGGCGACCGTACTTGAGATCTATACTAATGAATAGCAGTATTCTGTTGTGCGTTTCTTTTATGAGCATAATGACTCAGTACAAAGGATATTCATAAAGAAATGTTTACTGTTTACGGTGGGAAGTTTGTCACGTAAAACGGTTCAAAATTGGGTCGAAAGATTCTCACAGGGACGTTCGAAAGTCGCAAATGATGACCGACAAGTTGCGAAAGTGGTTGGGACAACAGACAAAAGACTTATGTGCTGCAGGTTTCGACGCACCGGTAAAACGATGGAACAAGTGTATCAAGGTTAGAGGAGGGTATATCGAGGTTAGAATATCATATATTTTACATTTTATATCCATTTGTGACCTATTTACTGACTCTTTCTCCTACCTACTCAACTAACTGACCGACTGACTGATTGCCTAGCTGGCAGGAAGGGTGAATAACTCACAAATTGACTAGCCACGAAACCATGCCATTCTTGAGAATATAACAATTTATAGGTAGCAAATAAAATCCTAACATTTTATGGAATCTGAAGGCTCATTACTGCGTTCGCAAGAGCCAACAAGTGGTTCCTACCCTGAGCCAGATTAATCCAATACAAAATTTCCCATCTATAACTAGGTCTTTCAAATGTCTCTTTCCTTATGATGTTTTCCACCACAAACTTTAATGAAGTTTTGTTCTCTCGCATGCATGCTACATGTGCCTATCGTCTCATTCTACCTGATTTATTAATCTCAATTAAATGTTACAAGGAGAACATAATGTGGAGGGCCTCATTATGCGATTTCCTCCAATTTCTTAGCTCCTAATATTTTCCTCAGTCCCTTCAAAGACGTTATTTTAGCGTGAGAGACCAAGCATCAAAAATATAC